ATAAGTTCATCTTCAGAGCTGTGTTAATGTCACACTGCTGCCTCCAGATTTACTATCTCTGAGTATCTGAATCTAGTCTCTGTACAGGACCACCTCATCTCAAGCTGTCTGCAGCCAACTCGTTATACTTTATTTTTTTCATAAATTTTATCAAGTTTCTCAAATAGGCCTTGAAAATTGAGGCACCCAGATTCATGAGTTGCTATAAAACATTTTAATCTGTGCAGACCAAGGATGTGCTATGTAAAACATGCTGTGAATAGCATGTAATGTGTACAGCGCCATGGAAACCACACACTGCTGAAACTCACCTTGATGTCAAGAGCCAGAGATCAAATAACTAGTGTTCTAGTTCAAGAGCCTAGCAAAAATTTCAGTGCTATCATTCTTACAAATAGTTAAGTGTTGTGCCATTAAGCACAACCTCCATGATGTGTCAACTGTTGCAGTTTAGCGTAATTCCTTCAAGCAAAACTAAAATTAAAAAACACACAGCAGTTGAAAGTTGAAATCTTGGACTACTGATAAACACTCATCTTAGAAAAAAGTCACTTTGCATACTTGAGAGGCTTTTTCTTTTTCAAACCGGTATTTGTTTCCATGTAGATATAGTCAACAACTATTGTTAATGAGGAACACCACAAAAATAGGTTGCTTTCCATTGCAACAACAATCCCTCCCCACCCTGGTTGAAATGACAAATAAAATATCTGATTGAAAGTGCCCTTTTTCCTTCTCTAGTTTTATAAACAAAGCTGCTAAGGAGAAATTGCTTCCCTATTTCAGAGCTCATGCTGGATTTATTATCTTTTAGCCAATGAAAACAAATAAACGAAGTGTGCTAGTGTATACAAAGTGTTCTTAATGGGATGAGTTTTCCTTAGGTTATGCAGCAGACTGGGCCCGGGGTCATACAGAAATGCAGGAGCAATCATTTTCTTTCCATGAAGAAACTTCTCTGTTTCCTACATGATCTTATTGATGAACAGGAAAATAAAATAATACACCTCAGTCACAAAGGCTTTGGTGCTTAATGCTTAAGTTTTACGTTTCTACAAACATGAACTGAAGAGACAGATTATGTTGTGGGTTAACTTTTTATCACCTACTGCACAATAACTGTCCATATACCAGTAATGGTCAATGTAAAATAGCTCTGGGCAGTTTCCTCCACAATCAACTTACCCTAGATCAGAAAAATTAACCAGTAATGAAAGTAATGTAAATCTATATTTTTATCACATTATGTTTTTGTAATCATACCCCAAACCATGCAGGTACTCCGAAGAACTGACTATTTTACTTCTTCAAAAAATTGGCGCCAGCATTTTCAGAAACAGTGATTTGAAGCCCTCATGGTTTAATGGAGTTCCCAACCACCACCAGAAAATCGTGCCTTCTTCAAGTACTTCAGTTTCAGCAATTGAATCCTTAGAGCCCCTGAGCCACTTATCACTTCTGAAAAACTTGGTTTATGGCTGTGTCTTTTTTTCCGAGCTCTTCAGCTTTCCTCTGATTTCTCAAGTGACCGTTTCCTGTCATTTCAAATTAGCCCATTAGATATATTAGGAACAAAAACAAAAAGAAACCTGCCTCAGAAAAGTGAAGGCTTGAAAACAACAGACCCAAGTTCTCATTTTTGCTCTATCTGGGAACAAAACACATAGTGACAACAGATGGTAGTCAGTCATTATATCTCAAGCTTTCCAGATATGACCAGAATAATAAAGGCAGATATGTAGAAAAACAAACACCAGCAGGTTCATCAAATCAAGTCTGAATTTTACACACAATGATGAGTTTTTCACAAGTGGTTGGTGCCATAATGCTAAAACTTTTTTTTTTTTTTTCTGCTGCAGATTAGACCTGCAGGTGGCTAAGAAACCGACTCTGTGTGTACACATACCTATCCTGTCCAGAGTCCCGATAAAGCTCTGCAACATGACTGCCTCTGCTCTGATTTTGATCAGGATGGTGCGACTTGCGTCAGACTGAGCAACAAACTAATGATACCTTTGAAGTTTTCACTGCCGCTTGAGTAGGCTTCACACAACATGGTGGACACACATACCTGGAGTTAGATAGTACCTCATGCTTTAAACTAGTTTTTAAACTTCAGGCTAGTTGGTTTAAGTACCTGTAGCTGCCTTAGGGTAACACCACTGAGGTCAGCATGGGCTACTTTATCCAGCCGCACTATGGTTCCTCTCACAGAAGAGGAGGCTTAATTTATTATTATTCCACTGACAATGCCTGTGAAGCATTTATAATCTAATCTCCCAGATTAATTTCCATTAGTAAATTAATTATTAAAACAAAGGAGGAGGAAATCTGGGCTTTTATTATTACCATTGCTTTAATTGTTTTATTTGTATGGGACTTTCTGTACAAGACAAAGTTAAATATACATTTTGTACAAAGGTGACATATATGGCACCTTACCAGAATAGTACCTCTGCTTACATATTCATCTACACACACAATATGCCATGTCTGTTGTTAGCTAAGGGGTCAATTTTCAGCAAAGGGTGTATTTTTTTTATGCCACAGAATTAAAAAGAATGAAATTAAGACCAAATGCAGACCAGGTGCCAATGTCACTGGTGTCTTTTCATACTCAATTATCAAACAGTTGCTGCTTTGTTCATTCCAGGAAGTCACATTCATTGGGCAATGAAAAAGAAAATGAGAAACAATGAAGAGGAAAACATAATTTTAAAAAATAGATGCACACTGCTGGAACAGGATATGATTCTACACAGATCTGTGCAAAGATTTTTGCTTTGCCATATAACATTTTGCATTGCCTTGTCTGATTGATTCAAAAAACCTTGTAATGTCTTAATGGAAATAACTCCTGGTGATTTATACTGGATGAAAATATGCAAGTCTTCTTGATGCGGACAGTGATCAAGGTAATGCTCTGTAATTTTTCTGGAAGAACTTGATCTAAATTAATGTTCTGGTTGCACATTTCTTCCTTATGGAAGGATGCCCTAACAAATCTAGAGAGCCATCTCTTTTGCCTAGTAAGGACACTGCCACTGAACCCTGGTGGAGGTAGATACTGTTTTTAGGCTCCAGAAACAAAGATCGTGGAAGGAGTTTAGCAATGCTGAGGTTCTCAGTGCCCCAGCTTGATGGAATTACCCTACGCAGGTAGCAGTTTGGTGAAGTGGTCCAATTGCTTTATTTCTACCTTTGTGAGGGCACAGGTGGATCTGGAGTTAGTTCACCTTAAATTGATGACAGGTGGAAAGTGGGCTTTGCAGAACAAAATATGTGGACACCATGGCAGATAATAAGTAAGAAATTAGTAATTCTTAAAGAATAAGTAAGTAATAGAAATTAAGTTTCAACAAAAATACTCTCCATAACGAGTGATGAAGAAGCCTCAAAGTTCTTTGCAGCCTGTTTTAGAAGGAGGGTGACTTCAGGGCCTCTCCTCATCTTCATTTACCTTCCAAGAGAAACCATAAACCACAATCTATTTCCAAGCCCTACTCACTTATCTATCCTCTTTTTTATACCCTGAAAAATCCTTATGTTTTCATGAGTGAAATCCATTTGAGGCAATCCTCTTTATACTCATTTTATCATTCTACAGTCTGGTGCACAGTTCTCCCCATCCTAAAGCAAAGTTACATCACACCCCAATATCTCCCTTCCTCTGAACAGAGGAGAACTGCTCCTCTGAATACATCTGCACTGTAGACAGCCATATTTTAGTCAGATGAAATCTGGCCTGTCACAAGGCAGCTACCTCCTTCCCCAGATGAACATTTATCTTTGCTGCTCTGCTACCAGGGAGTGGAAGGTTATCTCCAAACTGACATACTTTAAAACAGCGCTCTAAAGTAAATGGTGTAGGTTTACTAGTCTGGAAAATCAGAAACTAATTTTTTGCTAAACATGGTTCCAAAAATCTTCCACCGTCTTTCAGCTATATTTTCTGTCCAAATGCAATCTGCAAAATATCTTATTTTACGTTATAGATGCCCTGTGAGTTAGGAGGGAAAATCAAACTATATTTCCATCATGAAACAAAATGTGGACTATAGTTCACTGAAATTTCAAGAGGAACAAAGCCTTTAGATCTGGGATCTTGGACTATTTGGGATCTCCCACTCCCCAAAACACTGAAGCTTACACCGAGGCAAATTCTTCCTGGGAATATGGAGTGCTTGATGTATGGATGACGAGTGTATCTTAAAGGCAGTATTGAGTCCACCTATAGCTGACAGTACAGACAAATCCCTACATACACAAAGATGAAAGGGTTTGCCAAAGGCCATGTAACATCCCCCTGGTAGAGTCAGGAATGAGCTCAGATCTGCCCCTTCCCATGCCTCAGAGGCTGAACCTGAGATCTTAATCTCACAAGGTTTAAAGAAGTTTGCCTATCTGATCTAAACCAAACAAATAACATTACGCTGAATTAAAGAAAACTAAAATAACTGAAGCTCTGAGATGCTTTACTGCACATAGATAGTTTGATGTGAACGGGAAGCAAATGGGGATACAGATGTTCATTCAAAGACTATATAAACTTTTCTGGTATTCTGTTATGGCTTATATTCGGATTGGTTTCCAAATCTAGCTCAAGAGTTAAATCCCTGAGATCTGTATTTGCATAGTTAGTTTGGTATCTCCACACTACTAACAGTAGGACATTGAATTTTTGTGGGAAATAGATTTTGGAAGGAGCAACTAGTTTATTGGGACTCAAAGGAGTCTGAATACTGACTAGGAAGAAGGTGCTATGATAAATACTAGAAAGTAAAAGTTCTTTACTAAACTGTCATGAAATATACACTCAAGAGAGAGGAATAATTCTAGAAACACCATTTGTCTGCCTTTTTCCACAGCATTTTTTCCAATCTTCAGTTCAGTAACTTCTTCCAATGTTAGTAAAGTGTTGCCAAAATATGTCACTTAAAGAATTCCTTTCAGACTACAAACTACTGTTTCAGTACCTCATGATACATCTCCACAGTACATCATTTCAGTACGTGCACTTTATTTATCATGAACAGTATCTATCACAGATAGGCACCATTTAAATTTCAAACCTAACAGCTCTTCTGTTTTCCTGTAATTATGAAGAAGCAAACTGCAGATCTTATCTATCACTTTGGTGTAAATAAAACTAGTTTATAGGTAGTTACAATGGTATAAATGTAAAGATATTGATACAGCTATCTCTCATCCAGAAGAAAAATGAGCTACATCAGTGTGAGGCACTGTTACACACCAATTGACCCCAGTATAAGGAACATACTAGGGTTATTATTCTGATAACACAAAACCACAATGCTTACTGCAAATCATATAACACAAGAAGAACTTCATATGTTACCATGATTTCTATGGTTACCAATCCGTTTACTGCAAAATTAGACTTACTAATATCAGGTAAAGAAATTAAAATATATTTCTTGTGTGATATTTTATACTTGCACTGGAGTTTTGTAAGTGAAGAACTAGGCAGTACAGAGAAGGAATGTACAGTGACAGAAATCTGGGTTCAGCATCTTTCATCAGATGCTTTGAAACAATTGCAGGATACAGAGTGGATCCAGAAAGAGACCTCAAGGGGACGTTGACGACTTCAGTGCTTCATCTGTAACCTTTATTGGTGGTGGAAACTCAGTCTGCTCTCAGAAGCTGTATGTTAAAGTCAGTGACAGAGAATTTATGTAAGCACTGTTTATATTATAAGCAAAATAACTGAAGCACGAGGTGATTGAGGTGAAACTCTTCCAGCTTGCAATCTATGTCATTCTTCCTCATTGTAAACCACACAACTCTTGTCCTATTTCCTGTATTGGTGGGAATAGGAATGTGCTAATTCAGTCATTTCCTTTTTGTCTTTACAAATAAAGTGCAGGTCAGGTCAGTCACAGGATTGGTTCTGTGCCATTCCAGTCAATAACAGCTCCTTGCCACCTAGAAATACAAGCAATCATTTTACATCCATCAGTTAAGTCATTTTACATCCATCAGTTAATCAGGTCACTGGAAATGTAACCCAACACCCCTCAACCACCCAGCAAACCTTAGAGAGATGAGGATGGACTCATCTGGGATAATTAATCACATTTTCTCAAAGGGAAAGGAACAGAAGTGGGGTACTTGTGCCCCCTAATTTAAGGTGCCCAAGTTTGGACACCAGTCTGTTTACCCTTCCTCCAGTCTCTTCTAGGCAATAGAGAGTCCTCAGCAGCAGCTGATTCAAAACAAGTACTTTCAAGTTGCAAAGACTATAGGGAATCCCCAAGACAGATACAAGAATTTACCCTATATAACCAGAGTGCTCAGTCTCTGCTGTTACCAAGCAATGTGCATACTCCCATACAGGCAGGCCTCTGATTAGGAACTCTGTGACTGAGACACAGAGACCGGATAATTTCATTTAGCAGCTATCTTTCCTCCTGATCTTGGCTCCTTTGAAGGATTCAATGGCTCACTTTAATGGCAATATTTTTCTTTTCCTATGCTGAGGTTTTGCTTTTTTCTGCTCATTCCCTCTTCAGAATAACACTATACACTGAGAACAATGTTTCCAAATAAGTTCACAAGTTTTTAATTCCTGGCTCAGCATTGGCTGCTACTGCTCAGCTGCCCACTCCAGGAATGTGACCAACACTGAATGCAAAGGTATGGATCCTACATTTGTCACCGAATGTGTGTTCAAACCATGGCAGAAGACAAAGATCTGAACCTAGCCTTGATGAAAGCAGGATGATGGTCTCCAGTGACCTCACTGGGTTGAAGTGAGTCAGCTTTCTATATGGTCAGAGTCATTCATTGCATGAATTGGACCCTTGTCCGTGTCACTTCTCATGTTCTCAAGTTCATGGTCCACATCTTCTGAGAAGTAAACTATTGCTTTCCCAGTGTCAAGTATTCATATCTGTTTTGAAAATCTGTCTCAGAGTGCATGTGCACAGTAGAAAGACATTAGTGAGGGGGTGGAGACAACAGTGAGTTGCCAGTGTCACATTCTTTCTGTCACTGAGGAAAGAATGTGTCAGCAAGGGTATGGCAGCTCAGTCCTTTCTCTGAGCAAGTCAATTAAGTGTAAAACAAAACCAAAAGCTGAATTCATACAGTATTCAGTGCAAAGTCTCAAAGGAAGTGACCATCTGAGGGCTGTTGTGAAATTTTTCCTTCTTTTTTTATTTTGCTGAGAAAATAAAAATAAAAGATTTGCAGAAAGGCTGTCCTCATCCCCTGGCTTAGTAGGACTACACAACAGTGATGCTTCACATCTTAAGCTAAAAGCAGAATATGTTCTAGCTGGAGATATTTCACCTAGTCTGGCATTCTCCACTGGTGAGAGCTATCCCTGCTAGAGGTTCAGAATATCACCCCCAGAACAAACAAATGCAAGTGGGAAATATAATTGCCATCTTCTGTCCCCACTGGATTTTTCAAGTAATGGTATCAACTCATCCCTTTTCTTCAAGTGCAATCTTCCCGTGGCACCACCTTCTATCTCATCAGGGTGATTAAAGCTTTGAGAGGGATCCACAGACACCCCACAGAGGCCAAAAGACACCAAATGAAATCTGCTCTGAGAGTACACTGTACTCTCTGAAAATATTACCCTGTGCTGATATCATTTTTGCTGTTATGTCTTAAGATGTTACCAATCACTAGGCAGTGAGGAACTTGCCTTTTTTAAAACAAGCTTTCAAAAAAGAGCTTAAACAGAAAATGATATTTTGAGGGACTCAAGGTAACTTTCATAACAACCCTTATCGCCCATTTATATTTTCAAACCATTTTTGCTGAGCTGTTTGTAGACTGAAAAGGAGTCTTTGGCTGTTTGCTCCTATGGAGACGGATTCAAAATTTTTATCATCTATTGAATATGCATAAGAGAAGGTGTTAAATAGTGAGGAACCTCACTTACAGGTGATGAAAAAGTCTTTTCTTTACAGACAGAAACAAAACTGTCCAGATAATTCAGCATGATCATTTCTCCAAACTATCCTGCCACAATGTAATTCAAATAGAACCTAGATTCTAGCTGCTGATTCAATTATAATTTATCAGATTAGCAACATGAAAACTACACTTGACCCATCTGATTCAACTGCAACCTCACCCAAGGGTCATGGAGTTAACTGGAACCCAAGAAGAACTGGTTCAGGCTCTGAACAATGTTCAGTCTGGAATATAATTCAAAGAGTATTTCCCGTACCAATCATTTGGTATTGTTTTAGAGCACACCAACAATTCAGGATGAAATGCCCATGCTCTCCTCTTATCCACTAAATTTCCACTGGATGTCTCACTTCAAAGACAAACAGATGAACTAATGTATTATACAGCCCCACTACCACAGAGCAAAGCTGATGCAAGAGTTAACAAAATATACCACTGAATTCAAATTATAATATCAGAACAAAGTTTTATTCCCCTCAGGCAGAGCTAACAGATGGGTTTTTTTCCGCCAGTGCAGAGAGCTGCCGAGGACTGTGACTGTGATATAAGAGTATTCTTCAGGGAAGAATGGGATAATATGTCTGCACGGCATCTCCCAAACAACCCAGGGATGCACATTCCAGACATCTCTTGGTCAGAATTTGACCGCTTCTACAGATGTCTAAGTCTGAAAGCCACAATAAAAACACATGTACTTATATTGACTCTTTGGTTGGGAGCCTGCAGGTTAAAATTATACTTGTTTGTGACTAGTTGTTCTAGCCATCAGAAGTGCTACCTGCTTTAAACTCAAATCTCACTCTTCTGACATTTTATGGAATAGGGACTAAAAACATGAGCCTCCTCCTCCTGCAGAAGAAAAACAACCCTTCTCCTCTGATAATAATAATAACAAAAAAACTAAATACAGAAACAGACTATTACATATGCAGTTTTCCCTTTGGGAGAGAATAAGAGAACAAACAGCAGACAGATGTTAAGTAAATAATACACTACAGGACGGTGGTGTTCAGGTATTGAGATAAACAATGGGCAAGGCTTTTCATGGATTAAAACAAAACTGAGTCATGTGAATAAAAGGAAAAAAAAAAAATAACATTTGGAAACAACAGTTAATCTTCTCAGTTCTGATTGTTCAGACTGAAATTCTCCACGCTGCCTCAGAAATTATCCTGCATTTTTAATGAGAAAGGCTTGATAAGGAGCTTCATCATGAATGCTTGGTCAAAACAAGGAATGGCTCCTTGCTTGTTTGCTTGCTTTGCTAAAAATTAGGTAACGAGTGTTTTCCATGGTTGCATGATAGAAAACATTTCTTTTTTATCTCACAATTTGTTAAAATATTTGTTAGTTTTGTTTGTTTTTACTTTTCCTATATACTGTTTCATAGTTGGAAGAAAAATTTCTTAAAACAAAAAGGAAAAATATAACATGAAAAACCTGTAGCAGCAAGGCCATGCTTAAATAAATACGCTCAAAGCAAATGGAAGAATACTGAAAACAAGGAGCCAGGCTGATTAGGGTAATTCAGACAGTCCTGCGAATGGTACAAACAAAACAAATTGACACTGGAATTTGCTGGTAATTTACTTCTCCAGTAGATTAAAGTAGGGAATTTAAAATAAACAAACACCACCATTACAAAAACTGTATAACTTTGATACAATGCCAGGAATGGAAGATGTTCTAAGAGCAATTTTAAGTAGCTGCATGCATTATTCACCCCCACTATGTGGGTTTCTGTGGCTATATATTATTTATTTTAGTTTATAGTCATGCTTATGTGTCACTGGAACAGAGGAATCAATACAATCTGTATGTGCAGGGAGCCTGGATTAATGTCACTGCTGTCACGTTACAGGATGTCACTTCTACTTTTCTGTAAGTTTATAATGGCAGCCCTGCATGAACTCAGTGTTTGGCAGCCACTGCCATTTTTTTTGGTGTTTTTTTACAGGACAAATTGTGGCAAGGAGAGAAGGGAAATTACACAAGAAATCTGAAGCTGCTTGGCTGGTTGATTTAAGAAATGTTACGGTCTTTGACAATGAGGCTTTTACTTCTTGCTCCAAAGATATTCAGATAGCAGCTTTCAAAGTCATGTTGATGTAGTTGGTATAAAGCTGAGTTTTCTACCTAGTTAAATTTCCTCATTTTGCTTCTTTCATGTCTCTCTAAACTGAAAATGTTCTCACTAACTTCAGTATGACTTCGATAAATTGCTTAAAAGTCCATCATTTAATATCATATAGACCTCAAAATGGCCTTGAAAATCCTAACATGACAGGAACTAGCCTTGTATTTAAGGAGAGAATATGACCTAAGAACTGTCAACAATGACTTCACAAAACACAGTGTTTTGTGATCTTGAGAAACTGTGATGCCCAAAGACACATGGAAAGTCTGAGAAAACTGAGACCATTAAGCACAGGGCTTCATGCATCAAGAATGGTATCCAAGTCCCCCCAGTACAATTATATTTTTAAGAAAAAACTGATGAAGATGGAAGAAATTTTCTCCTTTTCTCATTATATCTCTACAATATGAATCAATCACTTTTGAGAACCTAAATTTAGATCTACTGAAATCAAATTGTGCTCTCAAACTGAATTTGGATCAGTCAGTTCTTGGTGATGTAATAAAGGTTCCCCTAAGAATGAAGTGAATGTCTTAGCCAGTTTGATGTTAAATACAATAACACACAATTAAATGTGTAATACATATTATCACAGCCTGGCCTATTCAGATCCTTTCTGAACTTTAAGCAGTAATTTTGCAAGGTTACTTGCTGCAATATATTATACATATATTATTTATTTCAATAAATGAATATATCTATATGGAAAATTGTAGTTTCACTTACTTTGTCCTAATACAATGCTCAAGTGGAGGAGTAAGATCATTTTCTTTTTCTTCAGCGCACATCTGAGTTGTGTCTGCAGAGACATATCAGACATAATTAGTGGCTGGAGTATATTCCTACTCATTTAGAATTCTGCAGTAACTCCTAGGCACTCCACCTATAGAAGTGACGGACTACCACTCACACCGTAAATCTCCTAGCCCACAAGAGGCATGTACCCACTTTGGGCTGAAATACTCTGGAAGGTGAGCACTGCTGGCACTTGAATACCATCTCATTCTCTCATTCACATCGTCTGAACAGAGCGGCCACAGACAGGGCTGGCAATGCTCAGAGCAGATACCACAACTATGGCTCTTTGCAATTAGCATGGGCTTTATAGCTGACCTTAGAGTGGACAGTCTGGCGCTCATTGCTGTCATCTCTTGAACCCTTTCAGCTAGTGATCTACTGCCTGTTCATGTGATGACAGGCTAAAAGCTGAAATGGGGTGACTGAATGCATACACTGTTAGGAATGATCACCAGATTGTGCCCAGTATTAATTATTCTGGGCCAGAAACTTACCCAGAATTGTGTTGACTACTTAACAGTAAGGATGGGACAGTGTTCAGACTCATGTGCTGACCCAGGTTAGTTTACTAATATAGAGATGGTTTTGAGGAAAAACATGGCTTAGAAGGTGAAAGAATATGCTGGAGGGCTGTCATAAGGTTTTTATTTTGTAATTGATTTCGGAATTACTAAGAAAGCAATTTTTACTCAAATATTAAGGACAGCTGTAGTCCTACGCTTGAATAGGAAACCCCAAGTCCAGTCCAAACTGTGTTAAGATTCTTTCACCCTGGAAAATAAGATTGTCCCTTGATTGTTGAGAAAACTACGCACAGAGGGGAGAAGATGATGTTGTGTTGGATATAAGAGAGCTACCATAGGCTGTGAGCATTCCTTTGTGACGGAGATGTAATTGCATTGTTCCGGGGAAAACAGAAAGGTCAGTGTCTCAGACACTGGATCTGTCAACAGTGAAAGTAGTCACTGAACTTCCCAGGGAGAAAACATCCTGCAACCAGCTTGGATGTCAGTCTGCTCAGCTGTTTCCTGTTTTGGAGTAAAACATTTTAAACTGCAGCAGACTAGGATTTTTTCTTTTTCTTCTTTTCTGTCCGTCATCCAGCCAATGGGTAGGTTGTGAGCAACAAATGATGCCAAGGCAGAGTGTAGGATATGGGTCTGCTCCAGTGAGACTGATGTAGACAGGATGGAAGGTGATTGCTCTTACATTCACAGCTGCCATTCTCAGGTATATCTGTCTTCCTCGTGTCACAGAGAGAACCTGGCTCTCCCTTGTTTGTTGATCCTGTCAGTATAAATACATGCAGAAAACTCTGAGTGACTGTAAGGGCTGGAGTAGTAGGAAATGGACAATATTTAAAAGTACATAAAGTACTGGCAATTTTCTAGACCCTGGAGAACTTAGACGTACACAGGAATCTTATAAGTTTCAAAGGGCCTCTTTTATCCTAATACTGAAGAATTTGTAACCATTTGTTAGAGGTCTCTAAAAGTATTTGGACCCATCTGGGAATTCCTGATACTGATGTTCTGGATCTTAGCATAGTGAGAAGCAACAGCCACTCTCCTGACCATAGTACTGATAGCAGGATAGGCATATGGCATGGCTGCCTTTCCCAGTCATTGCCAACTTGTTGAATTCTGTAATTTTTAGACTTGAGGTCTTCTAACCATAAGGTCTGGATGGAATTTTTTCATACAAAAGAATAGGAAAAAATGTATCGCTAAAGGTGTATCTTACAGGAGTAGGCAATGAACATTTAGCTAAGATAATTAACAAACTGTGTTAAAGTGTTTCATGCAACTTGTTTGGAGCAAGCAATAATGAAGTTACACTCTTCTGTCTTGGAGTCACCAGCAGCAAGAAGGATATGAATATGATCTCATATATCTTCACTTATATTCTAAGATAAGGGTAGTGAGGAACTGAGTGCTAGCACAGTTACAGACAAACTTGCTATTCAGGAGATATGATGAGCACAGGTTCAGAAGAGTGGAATCTAAACAGACAATCGCAGAGAACTACTGCTCACAATTTACACGGCAACCTTAGGAAATGATGTCTTAATAATTGGCTTTTCACAAGACTTTGGCACATTGGAACAATCTCCTCTTAACTGTGAGAAAAAAAATGTTCTGAAAGAAAGTGTCATAATCAATATTCCAGCCTTCCCTAGAAACTGCCTCCAGTATCTGAACATCTGCTACCTTCTGCGGGATCTGCAAAGAGGCTGAGGATAGTGTCTATGACTCTGGAAGAATCTTCTGAGAAATTCAGTTATATTCTTCTTAGCAATTATTTGGCTGCTTTATTTAAACACCTTTAAAATGATACTGAGTTGTAGGTAGTCAATGAGATATAAGAATGATTTATTAAAACAGATTGCACAAAAATTCCCTATATTTTCGCTTGGAGACGATGTATTGTAAATGTTAACATAGGTAGCTGTTAACTGCAAATATTAGAAAGGAGAAGCAGTATCTATCTGAGAAGTACAACTCACTTTTACACATGGGCCTTCTGTGATGTATAACAAAGATCCCAGAATTTCCACTTGGTACCTAAATAGCTGACAAAAGATGAGCAAAAAGCAGAGGGTTGTTATTTTAGATACACTGGATTGTTTTCCTTCTCTGCCTCTCAGAAATTTCTATCCAATGGAAAGGATTGAAGAACCTTCATCTGTTTAGGGTAGTATGTTGACTTCACTAGCAGGCATTGCCTGCTTTTAGGAAGGAACTTCATATTTCTTGTCTACATTTTGGCAAATGGTTATGAGCATGAGAAGCAGGGAAAATTCTCAATATAAAGTGTCAATTGCTATTACCCCCAAAATGTAATTCTACTCTTTCTTTCTGGCTTTTTTTTGCTTTTCTTGCCCAGTGTAATTTCTTCAAGATTTTCTGAAATGTAACCTTAATTGTAATCTTCCTAATTATAAACAGGATTCCCATTATAAGGAATTTACCTTCTTGCTAGTGAAAATCAAACAACTTTGCTAACCAGCACCAGTGAGATGTGGCTGTGCACGCAGGACCTCATTGTCTATCTCTAGGTAACACTGCCTAACCATCACAGCTTATTAGTATTTCTACAACAGAAATACCAGTAATACTTAGCATTCTGACATTTCCATCTGGTACTGTGTGCATGGTTTAGATGTATGATCAGTGTTACCTTTTGGATATAAAGTAATTTCAGTTTTTCTCCAGACCTAACAAAGGATTACTGTACAGCCAGAACGGGGAAAGCGTTTCCCTGGTATGATGAAATTATTTGCATTTTAGCCTTTTTCAGAATTTCATAGATAACGAAAGGTTTACTAGGACACATCCCTGGAAGAGGCTATAGCCACAACAAAAAAGATATCTACCTCTCAATGTAAGTTTAGTCTTTGAGGATAAATATACAGGTATGCCATGACTGGTTGTACAGTAAAGAGAAAAATTTATACATACTCTGAGCACTTTCTCATCCAGGGATCTTAGAGTACTTGGTAGCTCTGGATTTTGGAAATATTCCTGATTTATTAATGATGAAAAGACAGATAAGGACACATGTTTTGGACCGTATGTTACATGGCACAACACCGTAGAAAAAATGTGTCTTGATCTCTCTGGTCCTATGCTGAACTATATAATCTGTGTCATTTACAAAGAATCTTTTATTTGGGGCAGAACATGTGGGAACCAGTTGGCAACTATAATCCTGTAAAGGTTAAGCATTTTTTTGAGATAATATATAAGGTGATCACTACAATAGAATGACAGGGATTTTAATTAAAATAAGAGGATAAATAACAGGCAGAAAGACTATTGAATTCACTACCAAATCTTGTGAGATGCTAAAGCCCCCAACACTCACACTATACAAACAGCTTTGCCACGTGGACTCAATTAGAACAAACAACAGCCGTGTATAAATCATCTTGTCCAAGAACCAGAATGTAGGTGCAAACAAGGAATACAGACAGTTTAAAGGGTGGACTACAATAGAGTGGCTTCTTAAGATTGAGAAGGAATTTTATAAGATTGTATAAATATATTGAAGGAGATAAAACAAAAGATAAGTAGGATATTATTAGCAAATAGGAATTTAGTGGTCAAGAATGTCTTAATATGGCAATAAGAAGGAGCTTTCTAAGCATTAGAATACTTCTTGTCCAAATGCCTTCTAGTTGGAGAAATGCATAATTACTGTAAAAGCAGCTACATAATTTGACATGATTTCTGAGAGAATGAGTGTAACAAGTCAGAAGATCTTTTGCATGCTTGTGTTTCCAGGTATGCTTACAAGCAGGTAAGAGACTAGACTTTATTAGCAGATTACTGCCATCTTCTGAAATAGCTGGTTTTGGAGGCAAGGATTTCATGCTTCCTTATCCTTTCTGCTCACTTTACTACAGGCACGTAGGGTTGAGTAACAGGAGGCTTGCACTTTCTGCCTGTGGAAATGATGTGAGAAGATGTGAAGGAGAATGGGAGTAGTTAAGTATGGTTTATAGTCCTGGGAGCATGAATAGCCAGATCAAAATCTGCTCCTTGGAAGTAAGTGTTACTGAAAGATTTACCAACCTGTATAAAGTAGCACATGCTCACCTTTAACTCTTTCAAGAGTTTATCCTCAAAATTCCCATGTGAAATGAAATTTCCAATTAATCACCAAAAGTAATTCTGGAAATTAGGAAGCAGGCACACAAATAATCTTTAATGGCTGAGACCACCACTGTTTGTATCATTGGATTCTTCTTTCTCATGTGATGTTGTTGTGACCACCAGAGGTGAAATGCAGAGTAACTGAGTAGTACATACCAACTGTTAATCTTATCTCTTCTTCCTGGTTGGCCAAGCCATCATAATAATATAGATCAAATCTCTGCTCTGTTTTCCAGTCACCTAGTAAATCCTTTTCCAAACAAAAGAGCACACTGAAATGGCTTTCACTGCATACCAACCAAATTGGGTATTTAGGGGTCTTCAAGTAACAGCCAACCTAAAAGAAAGATACAAAACATTAGAACAATTAAATATTCTTACCTGAAACAAATCAATTTCTTTAACAGATGTATTTTTAAAGCCTTTGCCCTCCTTTTGAAAGTTTGAAAGTATATTTATTTATAAATATCTTACATTTCCTGTGTGAAATTGCATATAAATGATTTTCATACTCAAGATGTTTTAAACTAGAATACACAACAGATTTAAACAAGAAATGATGAGAATGGGGATACCAACAGGATTGCAGGAGTAAGACAAGGGTTGGCATGGCATCACCTGAGGGTGGAAATCATCGTGAGAACATTTACACTGCTCCTAGGAGCACGGAGGGCTCAGGAGCATGTCTGAAATCCTTGAACACCAATGTACTTAGTATGAGAAACAAACAGGATGAACTGGAAGCATTGGTCAGTTCTGAGAGATATGGTATCATTGGTATTAGTGCGACTTGGCGAAATGAATCCCATGATTGCAGTGCTGGGACGGAAGGCTACAGGTTGTTCAGGAGGAAGAGGCAGAGCAGGAGAGGGAGGTGTCATCCTACACATAAGGGAGAGGTTTGATTGCACAGCCCTTACAATTAGTGATGATGTGGTGGAGAGCCTCTGGGTAAGGATTGGTGGGATGGAAAACAAAGAAGATATTGTAGAAGGTGTCTACTACTGATTGCCCAGCCAGGATATAAGCACTGATGAGTTATTACAGACAATTAGAAATTTCTGGAACTGTAGCCCTTGTCCTTATGGGAGATTTCAACTTCTCAGACATCAACTGGGAATATCATACTGCTGGGATGAGCAGGTCTTGGAAATTCTTACAGTTTGTAGGAGACAACTTCTTGTCACACATACTCAATGAGCCAACTAGGAAAGATGCCCTCCTAAACTTACTATTTGTGAATAGAGAATGATTCATGGCGGATGTGATGATAGGTGGCTGTCTTGGCCACAGTAATCATAAAATTGTTGAGTTTAAAATTTTCAGTGTAAGAAGAAAAAAGGATAGCAGAGTTTCTACCCTGGACTTTAAGAGAGCAAACTTTAAGTGATGAAGGGAGTTATTTAGCAGATTACCCTGGGAATCTGCTTCTGAGGGCTTAGGAGTCCACAAGTACAGGTCAGTCCTTAAGAACCACCTTTCAGAAGCACTGGAGCAGGCAATTCCACTGTGTCATAAGTCAAGCAATTAGGGTAGAAGACCAGCTTGGCAGAACAGGGAACTCATGGAGCTCAAGAGGAAAAAGAAGCTGTTTGATCTCTGGAAGCAAGGTCGGTTATTTCAGGAAGAGTACAGACCTGTGGTTCATTTATGCAAGGAGAAGACATGAAAGGTCAAAGCTCAATTACAATTGAAACTGGCCAGAGTTGTTTCAAATAACAAGAAGAGCTTTTGAAAGTATGTTAACAGCAAGAGGAGGTCTAAAGAAAATATTGGACCAATACTTGTTAAAGAAGGTCATCTGACTAATAGGGATGAAGAAAAAGTGGAGGCATTTAATGTGTTTTTTGCCTCAGTCTTTAATAATACTGATAGACCCTGAGCTTCCCAGTCCCCCAATTTGGAGGACCTCTAGTGTGGGAACAGTGAATTTCCATTTGTGGACCCTTAAATTGTAGGGGACCAGCTGCATCAGCTGAATGTTCACAAGTCCATGGGGCCTGAGCTGGCAGAGGTTATGGCAGGACCCCTCTCTATCTACCAAAGTTCTTGGGAGTCTGGAGAGGTCCCTGCTGACTGGAAGCTAACCAATATTATTGCTATCTACAAAAAGGGTGTAAGGGGAGACCCAGGGAACTACACACCTGTTAGTCTAACCTCAGTGCCTGGAAAAATAATGGAGATGATTAAACTGGGTATTACTGAAAGGCATTTAAAGAATAATGCAATCATCAGGCACAGTCAATGTGGCTTTACAAAAGGAAAGTCCTGTTTAACTAATTTGACATTCTTCTGTGATGTCAACAACCTAGTGGATGAAGGAAAGGCAGTGGATGTAGTTCTTCTGGATTTTAGTAAGGCTTGTGATACTGTCCCTCACAGCATCCTTCTGGAAAAGTTGTCCAACTGTGGAATAAGCAGGTGGAATGAAGAACTGGCTGAAGGGCAGAGCTCAAAGGGTGTAGTGAATGGGGCTACATCAGGCTGGTGGATCACCTGTGTTCCTCAGGGTTCAATTCTAGGGCTAGTTCTGTTCAATATATTTATCAATGTTCTGCATGCAGGAGTTGAATGCACCATTATCAAGTTTGCTGGTGACACCAAACTGGGGGGTGCTGTTGACTCTCTTGACGGACAGGAGGCCTTGCAGAAGGATCTAGATAGAGCGAAGCGTTGGGCTATGATTAATTGGATGAAATTTAACAAACCGAAATGTTGGATTCTGCACCTAGGATGGAATAACTCTGGGTAAAAGTATAAACTGGGAGAGGACTAGCTGGAGGGCAGCCCTGCAGAAGGGGATCTAGGGGTGCTGGTTGGCAGCAGGCTCAATATGAGCCATCGGTATGCCCTGGCAGCCAAAAAGACAAACCCCATCCTGGGGTGTATCAAACACAGCATAACCAGCAGCGCAAAAGAGGTGATTATCCTGTTGTGTTCAGTGTTGGTGCGGCCTCACTTTGAATACCATAAGCTCTTCTGGGCCCCACAATTTAAAAAGGATGTGAAAGTCCTTGAATGAATCCAGAGGATGGCAACAAAGCTGGTGAAAGGGCAGGAAGATATATCCTATGAGGAGTGGATGAGGACTCTGGGTTTGTCTAGTTTGGAGAAAAGAAGGCTGAGGATCAACCTCACTGCTCTTGGCAGGTTCCTGAGGGGAAGTGGAGAGGGAGATGCTGAGGTCTTCTCCCTGGTATCCAGTGATAGGATGGGTGGAAATGGTTCAGAGCTGCACCAAGGAGGGTTGAAATTGGACGTTAGGAAGTACTTCTTTACCAAGAGGGTGATCAAACACTGGAACAGGCTTCTTAGAAAGGTGGTCAGAAGTATTTGGATAATGCCTTTAAAAACATGCTTTAACTTTTGGTCAGCCCTGAACTGATCTGGCAGTTGGACTAGATGATTGTTGTAGGTCACTTCCAACTGAAATAGTCTAGTCTATTCCATTCTACTAATCTGAAGTATTATTCTTAGATCTACCAGCTATTTAAAATGTGGGCTACTACAGCAATTCTTTGAATTTGTGAGTAATTGCTTTTATCTAGATATGTATCCATTTATCAATTTAATCAGTTTTTTTTCTGCTGCTTCACCCCATAGTCTTTAAGTTCATGTCCAGCAAAGGACCGAGGCTAGTTTTATGTATATTTAGACTCATATGTATTATTTATCATGGAATTTATGTTTTAAGGCAGGCATATATTTGCTTTAATGCCTGGGGGAATGTATCTATGGATTTGAAACTTAATATATGCTGATATAAAATGAATCATGGAAGTTTTCTTCATCCCCAAAGGACAGTGAATATCTTGTAGTATTTTCTTCACTTCACATTAATGTGTTTTGAGACAGATACCATCCTCCTATTGTATGCTGCTGCTTTAAAGCTGCAGTATCAGTTAATGATATTAGCCTCCTCACTAGTAAATAATAGAGTAAAAACAGTGATTAGATTGCTTAACATAGCAAAGAAACCTTATTTCCTCCAGCAAGGATTTTAACATTCAGCTACAACAGATATTTATTATTAGCTATATCCCTGTCATTAAAAGCCATATCCTAAATTCAAAATAATACTGTTTTTTCTCCCATTGAACTGCTGAGTTTTGTATCTTTGATAAATCACTCAGGGAAACTAAAAACCAAAATAAAACTTCTTTGTTTCAGTGCAATGTTTCTGAGTACAGCTCCACTTATTATTCTTATAGCAGACAGAATCACTACTGTGCAGGACACTGTGTATATAACCACCTTTATTTTACCCCCATCTGTATAGTATGCTTTGTTAAGCAGATGTTGCACTGCTGGTATGCTACCAATCTGCAAAACAAGGAAAGGTAGTCAAGTGTGAAAATATATACATGTGCATAGAAATGTAAGATCAGTTTCTGTCTCTGCAATACAGACACATGGATCAAAGAAACTTTTCTAGTTTAGAGGCTCAGGTAGTTTTGAAGAGGTTTGCATAGTAATGTGGTAAGTGATATAATCTACAGAAATAATCTCTGCCTATTGCTATCTTTACCTTTACTACTGTGGGATTTAAATCATGCTTTAGCATATGCAGTGGGTGCTAGTGGAAACTGAAAGACTTTTAAGAGAAAAATTCTCATACATGTTTTTTTAGGCACAGATTCGTGGATACAGCTTCTATAGTACAGCCCTTAGTTCTTCACCTTGGGCACACAGATGCAAATGTCATGTAATATACAGCTAAAAGGCAGATGCTAACATATATTTTGTTGTAATTAAAAATCTAAACAGCATACTAAGTGACAAGGAGTGTGTTGTTTTGTTTTTTTTTTTTTTTTTGTATTATTGAGATTTAGAATTTGTATCTGAAGTGTTATATGAGTACAAAGTCAATTATATTCCCCAATGAGAATTTCTTCTGATGTTAGATAACCAGTCTCTAGCTAATTGAGTAACTGTTCTCTGACTCATTACTTTGCTAATAGCTATTTAAAACAGCCTTTTACACAACAGTTTTGCTTTTCATGTAAATTCTTGGCTTAAAAGTAAAGAAATTTTTTTACATGCTTACAAAAATACTCATAACAGGAGTTATCAAGAAGGGAAATATGCAGATGCAACAAAAGATGGCAAATTAGAGGGATACGGATGAAAAGATTCAGTCTCAAAAACATGCATATTTTAATATGAAGAAAAATCAAAGCCAAAAAGGAACAGCTAGTCTTCTCCTAAAAATGTGTTCTTCCTACATATGTCTGCTGAAGTAACTTCCAAGCTTCATCAAACAACATTTGACAAAACAAGATTAGAGAGATACAGAACTGCTTCAAAGCACACATCCACTCCAATTCTTACTCACAT